TTCGAGAAAAAGCATTCCCACTCTCACATCTACGAATGATTCTAATTGTAAGGATTCTAATTTAAAGAATACCGAATCGCAACAATACGCTATGATCGCACAATTATTTCACTGCCAACAATTATCTAATCTGCATTATCATGCATCTAGTTCACCTGTACTATCATACACCTAGTTCGTATAACCCCAATTCCATAACCTTATCCTCTTCCCTCAAAAAAGAAATCCGAACCGAAGACAACTCGTTTCAAACTCTTTTATAATACAGCAAATTACTCAATCAATCCAACAGACTCAACTCACCATTCCACTCAACTCTAAAGAATGCAAAATGCTAACCTGAAAAGCCCATGTAGGATCATCAATACCCAGAAAACGACCAATTAGCCACAATTGAATTGCATCGTTTATAAGCCACACAAACTTCGTCGTTAGGTAAGCTGCGGTCGCAAAGAAACCAAGTCTTGTTGGTTTCAATAAACTTGCACAAAAACTCATCTGGAATGGTATCGATCAAAATTTATTGTTGTCGATAAAACAAACTAAACGCAGTTCGCAATTACTCACATTCAATTAACCTAACACGGCAGAGTTCTTTCCTTTTCATCGTGAGCATGCAACATTTTCTTTGCTACATTAAAAAAAGTCTTTCAAAAAAGCAATAAAAATCTCAAATCAACAAAGAGATTTTCAAACAGCGATTCTAGGATTGTTACCGATTGTTGAAGTTTATCGCGATACTCGAAAGAGGTACGGATAAATTCGACCACTTTCACCAATTTCTTCGATCTGTTCTCTTCTTTTCTCTCGTCTCGTATCGCAACCGCTTCATCCACCACCGTTTGAATATCCACCACTAAAATGGAACTGAATCGAAGCGATACGATTTTTAGAGGTTTACCAGAACAATTCAAAAAAGTTCAAAAAATCAAGACCCAATGTTTTTGAAGAATCGAAGAGACTTAATCGTACTACGATGTCCTTAAAAAAACTTTTGACTATGACAAATAACCACAACAAAAAACGATTCAAAAGCGAATGATTAAAAGTACTCACTGCCATACTGTTGAAGAAAATGCCAAATCCAACTAGGTATGTAGAAGCAGAAAGCTTGAATCGCGAAGAAGTATGGTACCCACTGAAACAAAGACTACACCTATTTTTTGACAATTCAAGAATTCCGAACAGGAATTTTCTGGATAAAATGATAAATATCCTATTTCAATACATATTCTACGGAAGCATTTTGATGCATTACTTCCATGAATTGGAATTACCAAATGCTTGAAAAGTTAAGTCGTCA